TGTCTCCTGCCTCTCCCAATTCCCACTCCCTCCTCCAGGGTCCGCGTTGACTACCCCGCGGGTCGGGACAGATATGGACTTTGGAAGAAAGACTGCCCCCATAGGCCTCAGCTGCAAGTTGAGAAATCATCCACCCTGGCTCCAGTCCTTGTAGAAAGTGCAGAATGACGGGGCCGGGGCTCCATTCTAATGAGCCCCAGGGATCCCAAGGTAATGTTAAAGATTGGGGGCAAACCAATAGAATTCCCAGTAGACACCAGGGCAACGCATTCAGTTTTCCAAAAGGCGGTGGGGCCTGTGTCTGATGAAAAAGTTCTAATACAGGGAGCCACGGGAAAAACTAAAGCTTATCCATGGACAAAAACCAGAATAACCTATCTGGGGGCAGGAACTATTACCCATTCGTTCCTGGTGATGCCTGAATGCCCATACCCACGTCTGGGAAGGGACTTGCTCCAGAAGTTGTGGCTACCATAACTTTCCAGGAGGACACAGCTGAACTTTCATTTGACCTAAGTCCCTCTGTTATGCTCCTTACCTGTCCCATATCAGAGGAGTACTTATTGGCAGAAGAAGTATCCGCACACTTGGACTTACGTCAGTGTCTACAGGAACTTCAGAATAAGATCCCTAATGTGTGGGCAGAAACTAACCCACCTGGGTTGGCCTCTCACCAACCTCCTATTGTTGTACAGTTAACTAGCACCGCCACCCCTGTCCGTGTGCGGCAGCACCCCATCAGTCTAAAAGCAAGGAAGGGGATTGCCATCCATATTAAAAGACTCTGGGAGGCGGGCATTTTGGTTCCTTGTCAATCAGCTTGAAATACCCCTCTGCTCCCTGTTCAAAAACCAGGAACTGATGACTACCGACCAGTGCAGGATCTCTGGGAAGTGAACAAGAGGGTCGAGACCATGCATCCAACGGTGCCGAACTCGTACACCCTTCTGAGTTGGCTGACGTGGCCCTTTCTTGGGGCCGAGGAATGAACACAGAGACACAAAGACGCAGACACACGACTGCAGCCCTTACAAAAAGACACAGACGCCACAAAGACAGTATAAGGCTGCAGCAAAAAGCTCTTGCTGTAGCTGCTTTATTCATAACACAGCCTGTTTGGCAACTGTCCCACTGCAATTTCTTTGTTCCCACACTGTCCCGACTCAACACGTCTCTGTTCCTTGTTGTTTCGTCTCCGCAGAGCAGATGTTTGCATCTAAACTCTCTAGCCCCTCCTGTTTGCAGGGTTAGGGCGCTCTGGACTTGCGTGCAAGGCCACAGACATGTTCTTGAGAAAAACAACAAGGAATCGTTCCCAGACACAGGTGTCCTCTACAGTTGGCTGCCTCCGAATCGTCAGGTCTACACTGTACTGGACCTAAAGGATGCCTTCTTCTCACTCCCGTTGTCTGCAGTAAGTCAACCTATTTTTGCCTTTGAATAGACTGATCCGGAGGGAGGATACTCGGGGCAGTTGACCTGGACTAGATTGCCACAAGGCTTGAAAAACTAGCCCACTTTATTTGATGAGGCTTTACGTCAAGACCTAATTCATTTTAGACAAGAGCACCCGTAGGTGACTCTCTTACAGTATGTGGATGATCTTCTGGCAATGGAAGATCGAGCCACTTGCAAAAAGGAAACTGAGGACTTACTGGCAGAGCTGGCCCGATTGGGCTATTGTGCATCAGCTAAGAAGGCTCAGCTCTGTACTCAGACTGCTACCTACCTGAGGTATGAGCTAAAGGGAGGAAAGCGAACTCTCTCTACTGGGAGAATTGAAGCAATCTTAAAGATCTGCAGTCCCAAACCAAGAAGCAGGTGCGTGAGTTATTGAGGGTCGTGGGCTGTTGCAGACTCTGGATCCCTAAGTTCACTGAAATAGTGAAGCCCCTGTATGCCAGCACGGGGGGAAAAGGGGAAGCCCAAGTTTGGACTAAACTAAATCGAAAGCCTTTAAGAGTCTCAAACAGGCGCTTGTAAACGCCCCTGCACTGACCTTACCTGACCTAACTAAGCCTTTCCAGTTACATGTGGCTGAAGCCAGAGAAATAGCCAAGGGGATCCTGGCCCAAAAGCTGGGACCATGGACTAGACCAGTGGCATGTTTATCTAAAAGACTGGACCCGGTGGCCTCTGGCTTGCCAGGATGTGTCCGGGACATTGCTGCGACAGCTGTCTTGGCTAAGGAGGCCTCCAAGCTCACTTTGGGGCAGGACTTGTGCATTATTGCCCCTCACTCAGTAGAGGCCCTGCTGAGAAGCCCGCCTGAGAAATGGCTCTCCAACTCACGCATAACTCAGCATCAAGTGTTGCTATTAGACCCTCCCAAAATTCGCTTCCTAAAAATAGCTTCCCTCAACCCTGCTACTCTGCTCCCAGACGATGAACCGTCAGAGCCACTGCATGACTGCCTGGAAATAGTGGGGTCATTGACTAATTTAAGAGCAGACCTCACTGATCAACCATGGCCAAACCCTGATGAGGAGCTGTACACGGATGGAAGCAGTTACATATCTGAAGGAGTCAGGTATTCAGGGGCGGCTGTGGTCACGGCAGACTGGGTTGTTTGGGCTCAGGCTTTGAGTCATGGGACTTCAGCCCAAAAAGCGGAACTCACAGCCTTAACCCAAACCCTGCGGTGGGGAAAGGACAGAACTGTTACTATCTACACAGATAGTAGATACGCCTTTGCAATGGCTCATGTACACGGAGTGCTTTATCAGGAGCGAGGCCTACTGACCTCTAAAGGCAAGGAGATAAAGAATAAACTTGAAATTCTGGCCTTGTTAGAAGCCATATGGTTACCAAAAAATGTGGCTATCATCCACTGTAAGGGGCACCAGACGGCTAATTCCCCAATAGCAAAAGGAAATGCTTTTGCTGATGTGATGGCCAAAGAGGTAGCTCAAAAACCAGTGGGGCCTCTCCAGATTCTTCCTGTTTTGTCTGAATGGCTTCTACTACATTCCCCAACCTATACCAATGGATAAAATAAATTGGGAAAAGCCTTAAAGGTTAGAACTGCTACAAGAGGGTGAAAGGTCCTTCCAGACAACAGAATTCTGGTTCCCGAACACCTGGGGC